CGGGCCGGGCCGGGCCGGGCCGGGCCCCGCCGGCTGCTGTGGCGGCCCCGGCCTCGGCCCCTCGCTTCCCCTTTGCTTCTAGCCGCGGAGTCACGCTGCGCTTGGGCAGGTTGAGGTATCTTAAGCCCCCGGGAGTCTGAAGCCAGGCAGGAGGCAGGGTAGATTTGCCTTCTGTAGACCGGTGGTTCCCAGACCTCGCGTTGGAGAAGCTTGCTTCGTGGTTGCTCCGGCTCGGCCCGAGAGCGGGTTAGGGAGGGGGCTTTTCTGGGAGGCTGTGGAAGTACCGTCGCCCCGCCGCGCCTCAGAAAGGACCTAGGAGCGGGTCCAGAGAAGGGCAGCGAGGGGCTGCCGGGGGAGGCGAGGCGCGGTCAGTGCAGAAGAGATGCTCGTGGAGGAGCATGGGGTGCTGAATCCCGCAGGGCGAAGAGAAGTCGGTGGGGATCGATTACGGACTCTGGCAAGACAAGGACTAAGGGCGCCGATACACGAGCAGCGAGGCTGCTGCGATGGGCTCCAGTGGCAGTGTCGGGGCAGACTCATTCAATCGAGTCTGATAGCAGCCTCCAGAGCCTCGTGTATCAGCATCCCTATGCTTAAAAATGGCAGGGGGGGTGCTTTAACTAAAGCTCGTTTGATGAGCTTTACATGAAGTCCCTCAACCAACATTTTTAAGCTCGGGGGCGCTGATACGTGAGACACTCCGGGCGTTTGAATTAGAGCGGCTCTCAGAGCTGCTCTAACTAAAGCACCCCCCTCGCACTTCCGGAGCACGTGTATACACGTAATGAACCAAAGGAAGTTTTCTTTCACCCAGCGTGTAACCAAAGAGTGAGCTCGTTGTCACCAGGTGTTGTGGGAGCTGACACTTTTCAAAAAGGCAATGGGACACACCCTTGGAGGAAAGGGGCATGAGGAGCTGATGAGCACTGGAGTGAGGGGCACAGCCTCTGAAACTGGACTTCCTAGACCTTAAATGCTGGAGGCTGCAAACCAGAGGAACAGTGCAGGGTGGGAAAGAGCCCTCGTCAGATCCAGTTCACTCTCCCTTCTAGTATCCGCTGTCTGCCCCGGTGTGACCGGCGAGCGGGCAAGGTAGACCCATGGGCTGACCCAGTAAATGGCTGTTCGTATATAGTGATCCAGGCAAAGCCCTGGCCGTCTCTGCTCCGTCGTTCTCTTTCTGTTCAGCCATTAAATGATGTTATGTTTGGCGGGGAACAAATGTTTGATTGTTATGTTTACTTGTGTTCTTTGTTGGACTTTGATATTACAGTATATCGGAAGTACTTTATTTTACGTGCTGTTGCCTTTGGTATGTTTATGGCCCTTCGAGTGAGTATCTGAGAACCTTACAGTCTGTAGCGTGTTTATGCTGAGAGACTGCAGGTGAGGAAGGGCTTTAATCCCAGTTGTGTATGTGGGGAACCGAGACACAGAGTGACCCAGTGACTTACCCAAGGTCAGAAAGAGAAGTCAGTGGTGAAATGGGGGATCTCCTCTCTCAAGCCCACGCTGACATCCCAGCTACTGATCTATCTTTTTTCGTGCTCTCTCTCTCCCTGCTCTTATTGTCTGTTATTAATAGCAGCATTCTCCTAAATGTGATTATAGAGGCCAAATAGCTCTGCCATTGATTTCTCAAATGTCGTGTTGCTTTCTTCAGTCCCAGAGAAATGGCCATGCACACACAAGATTAAAGGGCAAAAGGGTATGTAAGTTACTAATGATTTATGACAGGGATTCCCAGATTCTGTTCCATGGATTGTAAAAGCCCTCCCACCCTCTTTCTTTTCAAAGTTTGATGCTATGGATGTATGGTTGGCTGTGATAAATTTTGCAGAATGACAGTGGTCTACAGACCCCAGAAATGATCTGCAGTATTTGAATGGAGCCTTTATGATACAGTCCCAAAGAGGGAGCAGGTACTTCTAACTGCAGTAGCCCAGTGGGAAATCAAGACTGTACCATGGGGGAGACTGTCCATCCCTGAGCTTGAGGCATGGCCTGTTTGCTCTCTCCTACCTCCCTTCTTTTGGAAAGATATCCCTGCCTGAGTGTGCACAGAGAGCTCAGTCTGTGCAGTCTTACAACTGCAGGGACTATAACTGGCCTTTGGGTGAGTGGCATGGTTCCCTCTGCAACCTCCACCACCAGCCCTCCCAAGGCAAGTCACAATCTTATCTGAACTTAAGCTGTAAATTAGAAAATTTGTGACTTAACCGGTAATAGTTTTAAGGTCTGATCTGGCAAACATGTAAACTTACAGATGGGACTAGTCCCACTTGCTGTAGTAAGTGTTCTGAGCCAGATCTTAGGTGTCTCAAATTTGTGTCCTGGATCACCTACTATCTAGGGGCGTTTATACACGTGCAGCTCCAAGAGCCATGCTAATTAAAGCGCCCGGAGCATCATGTGTATCAGTGTCCCCACACTGAAAAATGGCGGTGGAACGCTTTGAGCTAAAGCTTGTTGAACAGACCTTTCAGCACGGAGATACTTGTGATGCTAGAGTCTACTAGAGAAATGTATGTGACGCTAGAGTCTGCTGGAGCGTGGTAATTACCACGCTCCAGCAGACTCAATTAATCATAATTACAGCATGTTGAAGCAGCCTCCCTGCATGTGTATAGGAGCCCTAGGTTCCTGGCTTCTCTGTTAGGTGTTTTAGGCTCCCTATTCAGGATGGGGGAGAATCAGGCATCTTAGAATTAGGTCAAAAACAGGTAGCCTACTGAGGAGGGAGCTACCTAAAGCATACCCACTGCTCTGATGGCTACAGATAGACAATAAGGAAACACTGAGAATGGGGGGGAATCCAAAATCTCAACCCTCAGATGTCTTACTTGACATCTGAGGCAAGAGGTAGGCACCTGTGTCTAGTTGGGACCAACCAATCACATAAGATCTTAGGAAAATGGGGCTAGAGGAGACCTTATGAGGTCATCTACTCCAGCCCCCTGCTCAAGGCTGCGTCATCCCTGACTAAGGACATGGGCGCTTATCTTTCTTTCAAAGAACTGAGTAGACTTACTGTTTGAAAATGTGAGGTATGGCAGGGAGCTGCTGCTGCCTTTATATAATAGTTTAGTGGCCAGAGCACTCACCCAGGAAATAAGAGACCTGGGTATAAGAGGACCTCTCCCTAAGGTAGGGGTGGGCAAAATGTGGCTTGAGGGCCAGATGCAGTCCACCAAGCCATTCTATCTGGCTGGTGGGGCCCCTAAAAAATTTAGAAAATTAATATTTATCTGCCCCTGGCTGCCTGTCATGCGGCCCTCGATGGCTTGCCAAAACTCAGTGAGCGGCCCTCTGCCTGAAATAATTGCCCGCCCCTGCCCTAAGGGGATTCAAATCCACAGTTCCCAGGAGAGTGTCCTAAACACTATGCTACAGGCTGTGTGTATGTGGGGAGAGGTCATTTTCCACCTCATTTCTATGTCCCTGTGCAACAAATAGAATAAGATTCACTGGGCCACAGACACTGCGTAATAGAGACCATGGTTCACAGGTGTGGGAGGGGAAGAGGCAGAGGACAGACCTAGGTTCTGGCCTATGCCCCAGGACTCTTTTCCTGTATTCTTTTATTCAAGTAATTGGATACGCTACAGTCCTGGGACTTGTTCACCCCAGCTTCTCTTCCCTTCCCCCTAGCCCCCCAGCAAGTATCCTAATAATTAGGCTATGTAGTTCTTCTCCATTTTGTGCTGTCCCTCTAGGGCCACTGAATCTTGTATGCTTTGCTGCCTAGTGTCACAGCTGCACAGCAGGAGGTATAGAAAGTGTCCTTCTAAGAATATCTTATCACCTCCAGGCGTGGGAGCTGGTGGTTTGATTCCCTGTCAGAGGGAGGAAGGGTCTGAATTTGGCCCTTCCAGGTATAAGTGGGGAGTTACCATCTCTTCTTTGAGATGCATTTTAGAGCAAGTTGTGGCCATCATTGCCCTTAGTACCTCATCCTGTGATGTGTGTTCAGCATGCTCAGAGTCCACCTTCTGGATCAAGTCCTTCAAGGAAGGAGCATTTAGTTCCTTGACCCTGATGAACTTTATCTGAGCAAGGCACTGTGCTGCACTTCCCAGCCCCATCAAGCTGGGGGCAGTTCTAGGCATTTGCAAAGGCCCAGCTCACAGCACTTGAAAGAAAAAAGGAAGATGACTGAAGTTTAGGTGCCTCCAAAGTTAGGCAGCAGCTGAGCAGGAGTTTTCACACTTTAAGTTTTGGATTGGGGCACCTAAATTTTGCCAGATGTGCCTTCTGTTCTGCTTCTTGTTGTTAATCAATCAGTCTGCTGTGCTGCAGTGAACTGTAGGGTGCATCCTTTTATAAGCTATCACTATAGGGATTAGTTCTGGATGAACTGTATTTTATGTTCCTTATATG